GCGTCGTATTTAGGGCCGGTGTCTTTGTCTGATTCGCATGTTCTCATTGGTTGACCTCTCGCGGGTTGCCGACGCCGTGCCAATTGCTGACTCACGCGCCGTAGGCAAGACCGACCTGCTGCGCGGTGGTTCACTGCCACTCGTGAAAGCCGCATGAAAATGGCGCGTTGAGTCCGGGGCCGCCCTAATGCCTCTTAATGTTGAAGGATGGACCTCGTGTGCACGATGACAGGTGGTGATTGCAAGTGTTTCAAAAGGTAGCCTGGCTTTAGAGGATTTCCTGACGGCCTGGACAAGACCTGGGGTCCCGGCCTTGGAATTCGGAACGCAGAAGGTATCAGACAGTCAGAGAATGTCCGGTGTCTCGGTTGATTTGTGTTTCTCCCCATATTGGCGCGGTCTGGTCCTGTAGCCCTTCATATGGTTAGCTTATAAAAACAATCTTAGTAGGTCCGATTACGCTGACTTTACATATATCACCTGTTTGCGCCTTCCCTAATATTTTAATCCAGCGAGTAACTGTGCCTCAGGGGGAGTGCTTTTACGCCAGCCTCGGTAACATCAGGGGTAAGATCGTAGTTGGTAGCCAGACATTATACATTGATACTGTCGACGTACGTACTTGTTATCAGTAGGTGTGCTTGCCTTGTTTAGGGAACTGGTTATCAGTAGGTGTGCTCTGAGTTAGGCAGGTCGCCCGTTTCGGTCAGGCTGTTGGGCTAGTTAGGGTTAGGGTTAGGCGTCGGTTAAGTTTTACGATTACGGTTTGCGTTTTAGGACCAGGTTTCAGTGTTAGGTTTAGGTTCCCGTTATGGTGACGTCTAAGGTTAGAGTTAGGTTTAGGGTTAGGATTGGGGTTCGGATTTGGTTTAGGTTTAAGGTTAGGATTAGGGTTAAATTTCGGGTTAGGGTTAAGGCTAGGTTTAGGGTTAAGGCTAGGGTTAGGGTTAAGGTTAGAGTTAAGCCTAGGTTTAGGGTTAGGTTTATGTTTAGGGTTGAGGTTTTGTTTAGGGTTAGAGTTATGGTAAGGGCTTGGGTTAAGGTTAGGATTAGGGTTAAGCATTGGTTCAGCGTTAACATTAGGGTTAAGGTTAGGGTTAGGTTTAGGGTTGCGGTTAGGGTTTGGTTTAGAGTTAAACTTAGGGTTTGGTGTAGGGTTAGGGTCATAGTTAAGGTTAGGGTTTGGGTTAAGTTTAGGATTAGGGTTAAGCTTAGGTTTAGGGTTAGAGTTAGGTTTAGGGTTGGGGGTAGGTTTAGAGTTGAAGTTGAGTTTAGGGTTACGTTTTGGGTTAGGGTTTGGTTTAGGATTAAGTTTAGGATTAGGGTTAATTTTTGAGTTAGGGTTAAGTTTAGGGTTAGGGTTAAGATCAGGGTTAGGGCTTGGTTTAGGGTTAAGGTCAGGATTGGGGTTAACTTTAGGGTTGGTGTTACGGTTGGGGTTATGGTTAAGATTAGTGTTAGAGTTAGGGTTTGGTTTAGGGTTAGGCTTATTGTCAAGGTTAGGGTTTGGGTTAAGGTTGGCATTAGGGTTAAGCTTAGGTTTATGTTTAATATTAGGTTTAAGGTTAGGGTTAGGCTTACACTTTGGTTTGGGGTTAAATTTAGGGTTTGGGTGAAGTTTAGTGTTATGGTCAATTTTATGTTTAGGGCTGTGGCTGTGTTTCTGGTTATCTTTGGGTTTTAGGATTTTGGTTGCTTTTCGGTTTTGAGGCATTGGGTTCGACTTTACGTTTGCGGTCAAGGTTGGGTTCTAGGGTTAATTTTAGGCTTTAAGTTTCTGCCATTATTCCACCTAAACAAAACTTCCCATCTCTTTCCCTGGTATCTTTACTTCTTCCCAGAATCTCCAGTATTCCTCTATCAGTCCTTTCATTTACCCCACTCATATAGCCCCTTTCCCACCTTTCCTGTACGACAGGAACCTGACTGTACGCCTCCCCATTCCTGGCATCCATCTGCGATCTAACCACATCAGTTATCATTTCACACGCACTTTCCTAGGTGTGCTTCGAGTCCTGCATGCGCTCTCCTCGTTATCTCAATCCGGGGGGTGGCTAAGTAGGCTTGCCACGGTGTGGGACTCCGTCTGGTCCACTATAGTGAACATTCACTGTGAATTAACACACAGTTCCCTCTGTGTCCTTCCAGCTGTGATTGCACTCTCCTTATCCTCTTAGTCCAGCGAGTGGCTGTATCGCAGTGAGTGTGTACACGCCACCTTCGGTTACACCAGGCATCGGTTCATTCGCGCTTCCCTGTGAGTGCTTCGAGCTCTGCTTGCTCTGTATTTCCCTTCCTAATCCAGCAAGTGGCTAACTTAGGTACGTTAACTAAAATTGTTTTTGCAATCTAACCGTATGGCACCAACCAAGTGGTTCTGCAGGATCAAATCTCGTCCCCATGTTCCCTCCTTTCGAATTGAAAATGCATTTCAGAATTTCAATTAGCATTGCATGAAAAAGCACATCTACTGTACAACGCACTCTGTTTCAAGAACTGGAATCGGATATGCTGTTAGTCGCAGTGTAATGTAGCCACTTCCATGGTGTCAGTCTGTAGAGAGGTCCGCGGATATGTCCACATCGGGCGCCTCACAGAAGTGTACAAGGACGGCCTTCAAGTCCTCCGCCGTGATGCCTGTGCTCAAGCCATCCATATAGTTTCAAGAACCTTCTGTGATTTATCAACAGCCTGGTGTTTTTGCAAATCTTGTTCCCGCCGAACGTGTTCGGTTGCGCTGGAAGCCGTCTGCTTCGTAGTCCGGTGCTTATGTTTCGATTATACATTCACTTCTGCCTGATGTGCAAACGCAGCACGTCGGCAATGACTAAAAGGCGATGTATTTCCTGGGATAATGCATAGAGCGGCTTTCGTTTAATTACATTTACCGATTTATCTTTCCTTGAGTCTCACATCTTCAGATTATGTTCCAGTTCTTGTACTGCTAGGCAAATGTGTTCAAATGACTGACTCCATTAACTTATCTCCTAGACCGCCGTATCACCAAAAAGACCAGTGCGGTTCTTCGATAATGAAACGTCGACGAGACAACTTTTATCTCCAGATTTGATTTTCGCCGCAAAACATATTCATAATTTCATCTTGGTGCCATTTGACAGCCACTCCCTGGTGTGGGTTGGTGAATGGCTAGGTGTTATTATCGCCTACCACATTTCTACTGTCATAATCGTCAGATCAGACACCGCTTTAAGTTAATGCCTGACGGTTGCTCCGCTTATAAACGCAGATAAGTATTTTCGGTGTTCACAGTTTAGTACGAGTGATTCACCGCCATAAACGACGCTGCACTGTTTTCGGGCATTTGCTCGTCCTGCTCAGCGGTACGTTGGTTTGTGTTTGTATCTCAAACACCTGCAGCACCTTCGCGTTTTATGGGGCCAGTCGATGATTGTGCCACCCACCACGCTGCCAGAACAGGGTCATTGGCCTTCTGGGAAGAGTTCCCCTTCCTGGTGGCTAGCTCTTTCTGATGTCAAATAGTTGTACGTACTGATTGCTTGATTTGCCCTTCAAATTAATAACATGTTTAGTGTTCCTGGTTTTGAAAGACTTCCGGGTAAGATCGCAGTTGGTAGGCATACATTATACGTTGATACTGTCGAAGTATGTATTTTTTTATCTGTAGGTGTGCTTCCCTTGTCTAGGAAACTTGTTATCAGTAGGTGTGCCCTTAGTGAGTTTGGCAGGTCGCCAGTTTCGGTCAAGCTGTTGGCATTAGTGAGGGCTAGGGTTAGGCGTAGGTTGAGTTTTAGGATTAGGGTTTGCCTTTTGGGGTCATGTTTCAGTGTTAGGGTTAGGGGTTAGTTTCCCGGTAGGGTACCCGTCAGGGTTACGGTTAAGGTTAGGGTTAAGGGTATGGTTAGGGTTAAGGTTAGGTTTAGGGTTAAGGTTAGGGTTAGGGTTAGGGTCAAGGTTAGGGTTAGGGTTACGGCTATGTTTTGGATAAGCGTTGGGTTTTAGTATTTTGGTTACGTTTCGTTTATGAGGCTTAGAGCTAGGCTTTACGGTTGTCGGTCAGGGTTGGATTTTAAAGTTAAGCGTAGGGTTTGATTTTCTGCCTTTATTCCATCTTTTTAAAACTGCCCAGCACTTTCGCTGGTTACTTTACTTTTAACTAGAATCTCCAGCATTCCTCTACCAGTCCTTCAATTTTTCAACCCATTTAACCCCCTTTCCCATCATTCCCGTACGACAGGGATCTGGCTGTTCGCTTCCCCAATCCTGGCTGTCAACTGCGACCTAACCGACTTCTGGACTGTCAGATCACCATCCTTATGGAATGTGTGTGTGTCCATGTCCCCGTCAGGCTCATTTAAACGATCGATGACCACCTGAACCGGGGTCAGATCTCTTTTACATCTATGGCCGAGATTCTTGCTTGCGATGACTGGCGAACCAAAATGGAGGTTATGGTCTTTAGCCTTTACCTATAATGCCTTTTAGTGGCACTGTATGTGGGTGTAGGGGTGGATCCTCAAATCTAGGCCCAGCCTAGGGGCCACACCTCGGTAACCGCCTCGACAGAAAGGCTAAACCAGATGAGGGTATACGTGCGTGTCCCAAACATGGTAACTCTGTTCCCCTTCCCTCCCCCATCCCACCCCCGCTTCCCTTCGCCCCTCCCGCTGCCCCCGCCAACTTCCCCTTCCAAGCCCTCATCCCCTCAGGCAAGGCGATAGGCAGCGTCTTTGCCATCAGGAACGACATCGTGGGAGGACTGCCCTGCCTGCCGCAGGCCATCAACAATCGTCTGATGAGCCTTCGCCTGCCTCTTAGGGAAAACAATTTCGCCACCGTCATCAGCGTCTATATCTGCACTCCCCCCCCCCACTATCCACCCCAATGACCAGACCTGACGAGGAAACGAACAAATTCTACGAGGACCTGAACGTCCTCCAGACGACTGTGTCGAAGGCGGATAACTTGAATGGCCTTGGTGACGCCAATGCCCACATCGACAGAGGCCATGCTGTCTGGAGAGGAGTGCTGGGTCCTAATGGTCTCGGCGGCTTCAATGACAATTTCCTGCTCTCCTGCGAACCTGCGCAGAGCACCGCCTCCTCCTGACCAACACATTCTTCTGGCTTCCGATGCGAGAGAAGGCCACCGGGATGCATCCCCGATTGCGTCAGTGGCACCGGCTGGACTATGCCCTCGTCCGGAGGCGAGACCAGCGGGACGTGCTGGTGACAAAGGCGATCCCGGGTGGGGACGGATGAGCTGACCATTGCTTCATCATATCCAAGATGAGGACTCACCTACAGCCTCGCAGGTGACCTTAAGGTATGGTACCCACAGGTAAGCTGAATACTGCTTTGTTGAATGTGTCTGCTCATCATATCCATTTCACCAAAGAGTTGGCTCAGCGACCCGCCAACCTTCAGTCGCCGCCGACGAGAACGCTCCCGTAGAGAGCCGATGGTGTCAACTGAGGCACATGGTCCAGTCAACCTCGTCACCAACATCAGGACTGGTTCGATGACAATGACGCCGTCATCAGCAACCTGCTTGCCGAGAATAACCTCCTGCATAAAGCCTGTGTCAACTGCCCTACTAACGACAACAAAGCAGACTTTTTCCAAAGTCACGGCCTTGTGTAACGGCGGCTGAGGGATATTCAAAACCCCTGGGCGGCGCGCAAGGCGACACGATGGGTCGTGGAGGAGCGCCGTCTTTGTACATATTAGGGAGGCCTTAGAATCGCGCCAAAGCCGTATCCTGGAGTCTCGCCATGCGCCTATCGGCGGGTATATTGCATCTGAATTCTCCAAGGCCAACAAGCGTTGACATACGAAAGTAATGCTACGTTGTTGGCCTCGGCGAACTCAGGTGCAATAACACCGACTGACAGACGCATGGTGAGACCCCAAGATACGGTTTTGGCCCGATTCTATGGCCTCCCTAAGGTGCACAAAGACGGCGCTCCTCTCCGACCCATTGTGTCGATCAAAGGTACTCCAGCGTAGGAACTGTCTAAGCGGCTGTTCCGGCGTCTCAGGTTCCTGACCGCTGAGTCAGAAACCACGGTCTCTTCGTCAGCACAATTCCTGGAGAAATTCAAAGGGGTAAGCCTCCATCCAAATGAGGTCATGATATCTTTTGATGTTACGGCCCTTTGTACTTCTATTCCCCAGGACCTTGCGATCGAGACAATCGAGCTACTTCTACAAAGCAAATACGATGAAACGGAGAATCGTCTTGGACACGCCCAAGTTCTTCAACTCCTGCATTTCTGCCTCAGGACGTACTTCACGTTCGACGAGGCAATCTACGAACAAGTGAAGGGCACACCAATGGGTTCGCCGATTTCGGGATTCATCGCCGAGGTGGTCCTGCAACGGTTGGAGTCGCTGGTCTTCCAATACCACAGACCGAAGTTCTGGGCCCCGTGTGTGGATGATACCTTCGTCGTTATCGAACAGAATCAACTACTGACCTTCAAGGAACATCCGAATGCGGTCTTCCCGGACATTCAATTTACGTTGGAGGAGGAAGAGAACAACCAGCTGGCCATCCTAGATATCCTTGTATGCCGCAAAGATTGTGGTGGACTAAAGACCAAAGTGTTCAGGAAAGCGACAAATACGATGCAAGTACTGAATTTCAACAGCATCCACCCAATCAGCCACAAAAGCAGTTGTGTAAGGACTCTCTATCGGTGTGTCGAAACGCACTGCAGTGAGCCGGAAGACAAGATTGCCGAACTACAATACCTCCGACGGGTCTTCAAAGCCAATGGCTACCCGCGCAACTTTGTCAGCCGGTGCATATGCAAAAGGGACGAAAGGCCGAACCGCATGGATACCAAATTTTGGCGAGCGCTTCCGTATGTAAGGAACATTTCAGAAGCTGTCGGCTGCCTTCTCGCACCACTTGGGGTTGGAGTTGCACACAGACCGGAGGCAACCATCAGGCGTCAGGTAATAAAACCGAAAGACCCGCTGTCACGGCAAAAAGGTCTGGAGTCGTTTATCGGATCTTGTGCAGTTGTGGACAAAGCAACTACGTCGGAGGAACCGGAAGACAGCTCCGAACGAGACTGGCCGAACACGCCGAAGCGGTGCTCTTAAGTTGCGGCTCATTCGACGAGATCCGGCCACGCATTCAAATTTGACGAGGCCGAAATTCTCGCAAGAGGTGACAACCGCGTGGACCGGGGACTGCTTGAGGCATGGTTCACTGCCCTCCAGTCCCTTCACAAGTGCAATGATCTCCCCCTTCCATACTCGGGGCTGAGACTTCGCCCAGGCGGAGAAATTGGCCACGCGGGGAGCACACAGGTGAACACTTTTCCTAACACCAGGGTCGGTGCGTCAGATGGTCGAGCAATCATCACACCAACATCCAACGTACGTGATGAAATTGCAGCAATTAACGACGCGAATGTCGGCCATCACGCCACGTGCAACGATCCCTGATGAAGGGGGGAACCGTGAATATTCATAGGTATGAGGTAGCATGGCAACCGCATCCTATAAGTACTGCATCCCCTTGTGCATGAACCACCGATGTTTTCATTTGTCTCTGATGATGGGTTCGAGCAGGAATCCGAAACGTCAGGCTAATAAAGCCCTTGTCCCAGCGATCGTGTCTTCTTCTTCAAGACTGCTTCCTGGGACTCATCTTTTCGCTTCTATTGACACTCTGAAGTCTTTTTGAAGCGTCTGCAGATCAGCCCGGGTAACTGGGAAGACCTCGCTCGGAACCAACCGGCCTGGAGGTGGACAGGAGCGTAACCGCCGCCAAAGCCAATCGCGAAGTTCGAAAATCTCAACTGCCCCTGCCTCGTAACGCAGACACTCAACCGCCCCCAACATGCCCTCGGTATCATCAAACGTTCGGAGCACAAATCGGTCTTATTGGACATCCTCGGATCAACTGCAGCACTTTGACGACACCACCTGATGCATCCTTGTCTATCTCTGCCTGTCAACCACGTCGATAATTAACCATAACCATGGTCCTGATCCCCGTCATCATCCTCCACCATCTTACCCGCCTCAACATCTGCCACGACGGCTCCTGCCCCCACCACCGCTGCGCACAATCCCGATGCACCGTCAAACCTCAACCTCACCACCACCAATGTCAGTGATGTGGACTCGGTCTATACCTGTCCCCATTGCGATCGCAAACACACCTCCGGCATCGGCCTGGTCGGTCACTTGCGGATCCATATCACAGAGACTGGCGAACCACTGCTTAGATCACCGACCTACACTGGCCGCATCCGCCTCGATTGTCCGACTGCCCCCGCACATTCAGCCCACTAAGTCACAATAGCATTCATGAAAACCTGCTGGAAGGCTTCCGACTGACGCCTCAACTCAGTCCACACTGTCTGCGCAGTTGTGTGTGTTTGTTTGGAGTGCGTACTGATGTGCTGAGAGTCAGGCTGCAACGGCTCCTTCTTAAAGTGACCTCTGGCACTCTCACACGTGCGTGGAGTTTGGTTGCATATGGGTACTGCCTCTCGGTCGACGACTGACTGGTTACCTAGCCTTTGAAGGGTGATGGCCCAGGCTAAATGCAGGGCTGCGTGTCTCCCTTCTGGACTTTAAGGACTGTGTGCTATGCCATGATCCAGAGAACTATGGTCCTCGCAGTTTGGTGTGAGCTGTCTCTTTTATGGCACCTGGTTCCCTGCTGGTAGATGCGCTTGCACTCCCGTTGGGTAAACAGGTCGTGAGTATGGTTGCCCAGTCATCATCCTCTATCTGACCGGTTGTTGTGCTGCTGTTGATTAAAATCCCAGTCAAGTGTTTGTCGTGAACATGATGGTGTGGTTTTACGCCTGTGTACGAATCTGGCCGTGCCAGCCACCTGCGCCCTCTCTCACCTCCGGGTCTTCTTGACGCCGGGTTTCGGTGGGGAGGAGGAGTGAGTGCGGTAGACGTTGTGCAAGTCTGCTCTCACCATAAATTAATTCACGCATAAGCCACTGTGCCTGCTTCACCTTTTTAACTGTAGGGCAGTGTACAGAAAGCAGTAGAAGCCGGTCAACCATGTCATGACCCAAAATTCCGCACGAATCTGCTTTCCTGCGAATTGCCAAGGGTCGACTTTGCGCGGGGACCCTAAATGTCAAATTTGGTTCCACAGAGCTACTGTTGTCTGAAAGGTACTTTGTGGCCAACATTTTCAGCTCTCGGTTTTATGTTCACTCTCAAAAAGGGGGAAGCGGCTAGGGTACACTCCACAGAGACGACGGCCCAGGTCTCTCCTGTCCTGAATTTAAGAATTTGAAAGTACGGTGGACGATTCACTTGATTTGTGCAATGAGTTACCGTTCTAACAACACGGGTATTAGCTAAAAGCCCACATTGTTAGTACGGTAAATCATTGCACAATTCTCTACTACTGCCTGCTAGTCGGCAGTTTGTGAATATTAAGCGGTTATTCCGCAGTAGCTGATGAATTTCAGCTCAAATATTCATATCAAACTTCGGACCGTGTCTGGAAAGGTCTGTTTCGAAAGAGTTACCCCAAGTTTGCGCATTATTCCTTCGGAAATTAAACAAAGCAAGATTCACTTGATCCACATTGGTTGGAGTTCGACATTCCGCGTCAGGCCTCGGTTGACAGAAACTAGATTAGCAGTTTGAAGTTCCATAAAAATGTTCAGGACACATTTGAAATGGGCAGATCGTAAGCTGCCAGACGAACCGAGGCTGAATTGGAGGCAGACACGACAGGAAGAGTTGTCGTTGAGGAAAGTGCCTGGAAACTGTTAATAAAATACACTTTGCAAGACAGTCTACTCGTTCCCCCGATGGTAGAGGGGCGCTCGCCGACCGTTCTTACGGAACTCACTCGTCCAGTTGTGCCTTATGGGCTGTCACTCGAGCCCAACCAGCAGTCGCACAGCGGCGCATGATATATGCAGAATGTTATTACCGACAAAGGCAAGGGAGACCGGAGTGACCCGTAAGGCACAAGGGGATGAGTGAGTTCCGTAAAGACGACCGGTGAGCGTCCCTCTACCACTGTGTATTCCCGATCGAATCCGACAGGACAACGGACCCAGTGGTTTGAGGCGTTTGACTTCTAACTAACGGGTCGTAAGCCCGAGCCCGGGGCTGGGTATGACTGGCTGATGATGGCTAATAAGCCAGAAATGGCCACTCTAGCCTCCCTTGCCCTTGTCGGTAATAACAGTTCCCCGGTGTCTGTCACTTAAGTCTAGATACTGAGCCTACACTCGAGTGAATCGATGACGTTTGCTTAGTTGTTACTGGCGTGTTTAAAATTTATGATTAGAGCCCACCACCACTATGGCACCGCCCGTCGTCAGACAAACGTGCGTCTAGGCAGCCAGTGCCGTCCATGTCTCATGCTTCAAGTCAATAAATCACAGTGAGCTTGCCGACGGCCTGTTTTTCCAGCATCAATTCAGGGCACGTTTTTAAGTGCTCTTGCTGGCGAAGTGGTGCGCAATGAGTCCCTAAACCGGGCTGTTAAGTCCTCTCAGAAGGCTGTCGAGTTCCACTGTGGGTCACGACTCTGTTACAAATGAGAAGGTGGCCCGAATTAGCATGGGCGCCTACGGGATTGCAGGTAGACCTCTTCGTAGAACACTTTGTTTGGGTATGGGAAGCATGGAAATTAGTTAAGGGAGACACGCGCTGTTCACTCTTTTAAGGGTGGCCCGAAAATCGACGCAGCATTCTTGTCGTTGGGATTTCACGTGAGACGATGAACCACCATGCTGCAGGCCAGCCTCGCTTGCCAAGTCCGCGCGTGATTCAGCAATTAGCACGCCGCCGGACCGTACGCGACCTTCTTGGGCCCGGCAACCCGCGAGGGGTCTGCCGCGATGGCGCTCAATGATCAACCAATAGGAACACGTGAATCGGACAGGAACATGACCTTCAAATAGGACATATTGGGCGGATAGGTTGAAATGTTTATGCGCGCAGTGATTGTCGTAGTGACCTTGTCCTCCTTCATCCATGTCTGTCTTCTGTTCTACACAGCAACTAACAATATGCCACTGGGGGTTGTAACAGGCGAACGAAGGAAATGCTCAGTGAAGGACAGATGCGGAAGTAATTGGGATAACAATAAGCTGGTTTCACTGACTGGAAAGGCTGGAAACAGGCGCACAACGATGAGAAAAGGAAACGGCTGGAGGGCAGCATAACCGAATTTATCTATGACCCCCACGTCATTTGAGGAAATATGCTTCAGAAAATATGAATTATTGTTAGATAGAGAGAGGGGGGTTGAAGTCTGGTCGGTAAAAAGTGGAAGTCCCATTCCTTAAGGGACGAAGGGAACACGGAATGTATGTCACATTTTTCATGTTGAAGAAAACAGTCGAAATTGCCTTCACGGGAACTGCGAAAACTTGGAAACATTCAAAGTCCTTGTCCAACAGGCACTTTGAATGTTTTCAACTGGAAAAAAGAACAGATGAAGACTATTCACCCTAGACAGGTGTGTCAGTTCGACCATCACGAACGACAAATCCACCGTGCGCCCCACAGCATGGTGAACGCGGGGACGGTGACTTGCGCTTTAAACAGTTCATAGCGGTAGCAGACTTGCGCAGCATCTGCTTCACTCTCGCGGCAGCCCGTCCCAGTGGTCGCCGGCGGCGTCGGCTACCCACGCCACTCTTCAGTCTGTCTCGCGCTTCCTGTCAATCGATCGTTTCAGCCGCGCTAGACTTGTCAACAGCGTGGCGAGAGCTCGAGGCCAATCGACACTCCGTTAATCGCTGATTGGCTGCAGGCGGACGGGGCCAGGGCACATGCGCGCCCTGGAGCTAAGAACCTCGGCGACGGACACAGGTCCGAACAGACGGCCTGCTGCAACTGCTTGCCAGGCTACCTGTACACTCTCATTTCGGTGAAGTTGGCCCATCTATTAGTCTTCCCTGACTTGTGATTTGGGAATATTCGAGTCCTCAACCCATTGTATCTCGACAATAAGTGGCCCTCAGGTGACCTGACGCATCCATCTGACTCGGCTGAGCTCAACCATCAAAAGAATCCCGTTCGATTTCATCCTCCGGTTTTTCTCGTGTCTCTCATCGTGCGCACGGATAGGGAAGCAGAGTTACCGTAATCTTGTCGCCAATGAAGGCGATACCATCAACGTACTCTTGATTCCAAACCCATTGCGGGAATGGTCTTTCAACAACACTGGATGGTTTCCCCTTTCAGAGGTTCTTGTCCTCATTATTACCGGCATCATACATCATGACCTCTCAGAGCGACGACCCACTTCTGTACCTAACACAGTGAAATCCCACTTCGTCCGACACGCTCTGCAATCTATCCCACTTCCGAGCCCAGACGGCAGTGAAACCCTCCACTTACGGGTTCGTCTGGCTCGGCATTCACTGTTGGACGCACGCTCGCCTCTTACGCCAACGTGCCAGCCCACCGGCACACGTTGCCTCGACTGCATCTCTGCGCAGGTCGCAGCATGAACCTTGCCTCCGGCCCGAGCAACTCCTGCCACCATCGATACGCGCTCGAACCTGCATGTGCGCTGGATTCAATCATTCATTTCACTGACCCCTCACTTTGTTCGGTGTTTTGGGGGCGTTGTAGTGCCTCAAACGCGTGTAAACCTTTCGCCACCGGCACTCACGTGCGCCGCTAGGGATTATGTGATCATGATGCCTGAGCTGCCAGAACATGCGCACGAGCAACCGGGACAGCCAATTGCAGGCGCCCACAAAATCTTCCACCACCCAATCATGTGATCAAGCTGACTGACGCTTATTCATTCACACCCGCATAACCCTATCAGGCAGAAGCGCGCGTCGGGGTTCTGTCCGCTGAGTTCCTGTACAGAATACACGACTTCTGTTGGGCCTTTCCTCCTCTTCAAAAGAGAATGGGGCAGTGATTATTGTGACTCTCTGAGAATATTCGCTACTTAGACGCGGTAATTCCTCCTCCCTCCTGGACTTGGGGGCAACGGTGAGTCGGGTTGACCGGAGTCAGGACCCGTCGCAGTGGCTGAAAAAGCCAAGTAGTTCGTCTACGCGTGCCGCACACAACCTGGTTACCTACACAACTCCTGGTTTTCACGAAAAGTGGGCGAGCGACTCAGACCTAACATGCCTGAGGATGCTTTAGAGGCCACATTAAGGAGCCATTAGGCCTGACTCTCAGCCCACCAGTCGGTCACTTCACACACACACACACACGCACACACGTAGGGCTGACTGTGAGATCTAAATTGTGTCGTCAGCTGGCAACCTCCTAAGCCATGACGTTTAGTGCGTTGTGATAGATTCAAGCATGTCAAATTCATTAGTGAGGACTGCGCCAAAGTGCCACGGGAATGGGGTCACCACGGTCGGCCTCACTCTCCTCTCTTCCATGGATCAACTCGAGCTATCTAGCCGACTGGTGCTGAGAGCGGCTGACAGAGTTCCGAGAGCCCGTATACTTGTACCACACACGATGTGATTAGACATGAGGTTGTGCTGCGAACGCGCTTGCCATATACACCCGAGGTGTCTGTTTTGCTTCTGTGGTGGATGATGTGAGACGAGTTTGTATATTGTTACATGTTGGTGGGGAGATGTGTGGTGATGGGGTTCAGTCTGCCGTGTTTTACCGCAGGTTTTCGTGGAGACGCATATGGTCGAGTAGGCCCATACGGTGAATTAATGTGCGCGAGCAGTTGAGACGTTGCAGCGGATTTACGTCGGAGTTCCAAGCACTAATTCACTGGTGTCTGTGCGAGGGATCTACAAACCGATCAGGCCCATATGCGATGTGGAGATGAGCTCGCAGTAGGGACAGGTTGGCACTGCTGGTGGTGGAAACGATTGTGGAGCCGGTGAGTGGCCGGGCACCGGCAGTGTTATTACCAATGGTGGTGGTCGTCGTCGCTGGAGCGGGAGTTTTGATTGTTGATGGAGGTGGTGGTGAGCGGCGGCGGCGGCGGCGACGGCGACGATGACGACGGTGGTGGTCGTCGTGAGCCTCGCGAGGGTTGCCGCACGGATGAGGTTGGAGGCATTAGGTGGAGTTGTCGTCTTTTATTGCATTGGGTCCAAAGATGTTCGCCGATGCCGATCCGTTTGCTGAATGTCAGTTTGCAGCGTAGACACGATTGAGGGGGGTGGTGGTTGGGTGTTTGGGCTGTGGGCCTGTGGAGCTTAAAATTTGCGAGCTGATCTTTTGACTTTGGCCAGCGGCGATCCGGTTTGCTTCATATATGGCTGCTCCAGTCTTCACTGTGGTTCTGCAGCTTAGATCGGGGAATTCAGCTCCCTGACAAAGTTGACGTAGACGGTCCATGTCCCCGCCCTGTAGAGCAGGACTACTATCCAGTAATCTTTAATTTCGTCTTCAGGCGACTGATGCCTGTAGTCGGCAGGAGACCTGACTGGTTTTGGAGATCTGCTTCGCTACCTCGTCGTTGATCGTGATACTTTTGTGATGCTACTGCCTATATAGGCGATGTTGTTCACTGGTACGAGTAGCGTTCCATTCATGTTGATCTTGTGAGTAGTGTATTTGTCCGCTGTTGGTTGTTGGTGCATGACCACCGTTTTCTCTGTGTTTATGGTCAATCCGGAGTTGGCGCACCTGGAGGCGAAGAGGCCCGTGTCTCTATATGCCTGCTTTTGTCATGGCATTGAGCGCACAGTCATCCTCAAAGAGGAGATAATGAACAGTGGTTGTTGACATTTCTGTGGACGCTGGCATTCTTCGGACGGTGGGAATTCTGCCGACGGTCCTATGGGAGATGTTAATCCCAGGCTTTACCCACGACAGACCTCCACCTGCATGACGGAGAAGATTAGGTTTAAGAAGGTGTGAGTCAGTACAAATCCCTACTTCATTTAATTGATCATTACGAATGCTACCGTCGTGTCGTGGAGTTGGTGTACCATGTGTGTGAAGCATTCCGGACATCCGAACTTCAGCATGATCCTCCAAAATCCGTTGCGGTCCATGGTGTCGAAGGCTTTTTTCAGATCCACGAACGCTGGTGGGCATTTCACACCACCTCTTCTGCAGTTGCCGGACTACAAGGGTCATGTCGACGGTGCCGCGGCTTATTTGACATCAACACTGGATTTCCGCGAGGAGTCAATGTCCCAGGTGGCTGCTGAGACGGCTGAGGAGGATGCGGACGAAGATCTTCTCCGCCTTGTTGAGCGCTGAAATTCGTCCGTGAGCCGTCGGTAGGGTGGAGGACCCCACTTCACTGACGGTGGGGAGTAAATCATGTCACACGGAATAATGGTAATAGGGATTTTACGGGTGGGGCAGCACACCAGGCAGTAAGCTGGCGAAATGCAAGTAAACACAGAAAGTATTAGGATTTCTGCCAAAAGTCTTATGGTACGCTTTCGGTTGGCAACGGAACTGAGCGCGTTAATTTAAAAATAAACGGTCTGATGTGGTTATGTAGCCCCACCTGAAGTAAAAAAAAACCCCAGTCACCTGTAATAAGGGACCGGTGGTAATAGGCGTTTTTACAAGTTAGACCGGCAAACACACAGGCGACGGGGTCAAGCAGTTGTATGCAGAAGAACTGCTATTGGTCATGTGCGGTTGTACTTTAAGTTGTTGAGAAATAGTTGCCGTAGTCCTAAGCCTAATCTCTAACCCCTAACCTCAACCCCAACATTATTTTGTTCATCTAACGGGGCTACGTAACCACATCTTACCAAATAGACGCAAAGGGACTATCGAAAAATAACAGGGCTTAAGTAAGGGTTCGAGGTCATGGGAAGTAATTGTCGTTGGCAGTGTAGTGGGCGTAACAGCCTGCAAATGGATGCCAAGATAAAACCCTCATATGGCGCGATCCACAGTCTATCGACAGCTAAGTTGGGTCCTTCACCCCACCGTCGCCGTCCGTGGTTATCACAGCGTTTGCGGTTGCGTCTACCCGTGTGTTCGTGCACAATGGTAACGTCTCTGATGTCAAGGGGGACTTGTCCTTGCCGACACGTCCCATAAACATAATTATGAACATTTACACCAGTCGAGGAACC